GTAAAGTGGTGCAGAGAAGTGCAGAAGTTGGAGCCGGAAATAAAAAGTGAATGAAAAATGGTGCCAAAATATTGTGGAACATTCCTAGAATAATTTTAGAACATATGTTCCGAGGGAGGCTGAGTGAGAAATACTTGAGTCTGTTTATTTATAAAGTAGAGTCAGCTTGTTTTGAAAGTAGAGTCAGTTTTTGTTAAAAACAGACAAGTTATTTTGGAAGTGGATACCGTTTGTTTTCAATGTGGAGTAAGCTAATTTTAGTAGAGTCATTCACAGGTTTGTGTTCTTTTATTATCAGTATTTCCTGTAAACGGAGTAGGGAACAAAATAAATTTTAATCATAAAATTAAGCCACAACGGATACAAAAACTTAAGGTGAGAAGAAACAAAGCGTCTTGTATAGCTGCGTAGATTGAAAGTAGTTTTTTTTAAAGACGGACAACACACGTAGCGAAATTGAAAATTCGCCAATGATGTTATTAAAACAGCAGCTGGAATAGAAAGGGAACCAAATATTTGATCAAATTTTTCACCATTTTTCTTGTTCAAACAGAAACACTGCGGCTCTTAAAGAAGACATGTGAAAATTCTGTTCTTCAAAGTAAATATCCCACAAAAGACGTTTCATTAAGCAGGACAATGCTCTTTGTTTAAATTAAATATTATAGATTAGACTATTTCTACAAATCGATGGCAACTTGGATAGAAGTAATCGATGTAGTGATCGATTTCAAATGTTAAAGATCATTTTGTATGAAAATGACACGTTGAATAATTAGCATTTTTTACTGCTAGCTGCTCTACTCCACCTACAGGCTGATATTGATCACACACTGAAGTAAATACCCGGCAGGATCGTTCAAATATCGTCACTTTGATGTAAACTTCACGCAACCGGCAGATAATGGTTTAATGGATATTTGTTGCACACGTTGATTGGATAAGTTAATTAATTAAAGCTGTAGGTTGGTGGTGCTGTAGCGGTCAGCTGTAGCCTGGTTGTGTTCAGTGGTTGTTTCATGTGTGTGGTTGTAACAGTTGTACAACCTGATAACAACCTTCCTAGTTCGTGTACACTGGCTAATCTTGGCGTACACACTAGGTCGCTGGAGTCTCAGAGACCAACTGTGTACATAAGCGTACGGCGTAGATAGGTACACATGTACACGTTGTACCCACCAGTAATAAAAGTGATCAGTTAGACTAAACGTACTACAGCGCCAGCAGTTTAAAAACATGATTTAATCCTAATTAGGAGAAGATGATTAATTAATACAACGTTCATATATAATATATATACATGGAAGCTGGGAAAATAGGCGTATAGAATGACAGAGAATAACCAGTAAAATTGTAACTTGAAATGTCAAAAGCTAATTAATAACTGATAAAAAAAAATCACGTGGAATGCCAACAGCCAATCAACAACGAGTAAAACAGTCAATAGGAACTAACATTACCAAACACTGATTGTTGTAATTGTTACTTGGACTAGCTACAGCAAGTGGTAAAAAAAATTAGTATGTGTCTATATCATACAAATGTAAATTTCTGATGTAACAAATTGCCTAAATATCAAGCCAATTAACTGCCAATCTTCAATCATACATGCCGGTTGGAGTGTCATATTTGGAGAACTATTCATAAGCAGACTAATATTTCAAGAATGAAGAGGTTGATCATTTAATTAGGCCTGATGCCACACCTGTCGTCTGCTAACCCTGGTGAAGCTGTAAATAGCGGGATTATACCATAATGATCGCCCGGTCGCTTCACCTCATGTTGATCTGCGTGACGTCACTGTCACGTGGTCTCACACCTCCAGCCAATCAATGGCGACCACGTCCATGCCGGGAACCAACTTTAACCAATTGCGACACAGCTGGCAGTGGGTTGTTATCAAATCGTGCCGACTACAAGAAAAAAACCGGCGTGCCGGATGCCGGCAAGTTTGCCGGTTCTCTTCCTCAGACGGGACGTGATAGTGATTCACACCATGACGTCATCCAGGATAACTCCCTCCCCCCTCCGAGGGAGGCGAGTGTTCACGCCATGGGCGTAACTCGAGACGACTCGACTTCCATCGAGGTGGCTTCCCTTGGTTTCAAGGGAAGCAACCGCGACTCCCCTCGCGAAGGGGAGAAAACTGATACTAATTCAAGCGGAAGTAGCAGCCAGCGAAGATCGAAACATAAGGCCAAGTTTTCTGACAACATACAAGACAACACTGGAAGAGGAATACACGTTTCCACCACCAGAACCAGCAGTGTAGAAGATGGTAGACGGCATCATTATAGACGGAACAACATCCCCCGGTACTACAACACCAGCAGACGCCATCAAACTCCCACCACACCTGCAGCGAGATTTATCCCAAAAAACGGCCAACACATTAAACACAATTTAATATTCAAGTCCAATAAAGGGAACAATTATTACAACTCATCTTTGATTAATTCAAACGGCGATAACTCTAACCATAAATATTCGAACGCTATTAAAACGAATAATCATATCAAACAACGCTCGCATTCCCGTAATTTTATTTCCAAACAAAAACGTCAGAGAAGGAAAAAACTCCGAGGCTGCTGCGATAAAAATATCATCAAAAACATGTCGACAAAACACAGGAGAAAACGATGTTATTTTCTGTCTAATAAAAGGAACATCTTAAGAGCGCGAACGAAAGGGGAAACAAATCCCATGTCAAAGATTTCGATAACTCCACATCCAGCGTACGGTGAAAAAAATAGCGCGCCTAGAACAGGCTCGCAGCAAAGGGGCAGTACTCTTGAGAAACTGGGTGTGAGTGACGTAGAGGGTGTAAGTAGAGTACCACGCCCCTCATCCGAACCTCTCACCGCGGGGAAAAACGACTTGGATTGTACAAAAAACTTCCCGTCCAGAAAACTTCTGTCTATAAATAGTTTTGGAAAAAACACTGAAAAAACATCCAAAAGTAGAAAAAATGAAAAGTCTACCCATAATAAAAACGCTTCAGACAAACTTTATAGGCAGCGGAATGGAGATATGAACCAAAATATACCAGATGTAGTGGATTCTGGGTTCAACCAACCAAATTATTTTAAAAAACGAAACGAACTTAAATTTCGACGAATTTATAAAAGAAGGTACAAACGTTTAAATTCTTTTGAGGATTTCTTTGATAAACATTCTACTACAGACCAAACTGTAAAGCTATTAAACCAAAAAGGTGCTAGTTCGCAAGAGGAAAGTTCCAAATCATTACATTCCAGATCGACGCTGAACTTATCGATAGAACATTTGAACCCATCGTCTGTTCTTGAACCAGACCGCCAAGGTTCTAGCAGTTTCCCGCAGTATTTTAACACATTTTTAACTCACGATGAAGACCTGAACAGCGATGCTGTTAAAAAGGAACAATTGGAAATCGAAAACCGGAAAATTCCGGTTTTGAAAGAAAACAAAGTGCCGGTCTTTGAGGATTATGCGAGAGATGAGAAAGTCGACGAGACACCTAACTTGATATTTCAGACGCGGAGTCAGGGTCAAGTATGGGAGGGAAATGAGCAATATCTTAAGACCTTTGCGAGAGGAGTAAATGAAGCGAGGCTAACAAAGGAAATGCTTCTTGAGATGGGGGGTACGGGCCAGGTCGGACTGAGGGGGGTGGGGAGAAGAGATGGCTCGTTTGTTAGCGAGGGGTCGCGTGGTACAGGGGTCGTATCAAATCCAGGAGAAAGGCCAGGGCGTGTTGTAAAACAGAGAGGAGGGATAAAAAATGACGGGGAGATAATCACAAGGGGAAATCCAAGGGCGAGAACTGGGACGAGCGATGTCTACGGAGTTATCCGACTTGAGATCAAACATGAAGGCGAAAGCGAAAATAAACCAAAGGCAAACACAGGGAAAAAGGTTAATAGGGATTCAGCGGTAATCAAAATTAAAGTCGAGGAGGGGGGTGGTGTCGTGGGGGGTGGGGAGGAGGGACCGGTGGCACCGATAGCAAAAAGAAACACGAGAAATGAGCAGGCAATGATTAAATTAAGGGGGAGAAGCCGTACCGGGGACAGACGTCCTCGCCCGGTCGTCACCGCTCAAGTTCCCGGTGAAACTCACCATCCGCTGTTATACACGGCCAATCACGTTTGGTACGGCTTCGCTGATTGGCTGGACAAGATTGGTGATGGCAAAAAACAGGATGTAAACAGTTGGGGTGGGGGAGAAGGTGAACGTGGGGGTGTAGAACAACGTGATCCTTATAATGTGGGTGTAGAACAACGTGATCTGAATAGTAAAGGTGTTAAACGTGATCCTAATATTGAAGGTGGAGAGAAACGTGACACTACTAGGATGGGTGTTAATGTACCTGACTCTAATTCGTCGGAGAATTTTCAAAAAGCGCGTCAAAATTTGGAAAAACCAGTTGAACAAAACAATCAGCCGTCTAGTAGAGAAAAAGAGAGTTTGTTTGAAGATTTAAACGTGGGCTTGACTTCTTCTTCTAAGGAAAATTCTCAGTTAAACTCTGCAACCAAGAAAAAGCACAATAACGTTTTTCGCGAACTCAATCCAGTGTCGCCGTCTTTGGATACCGCATCAGACGCCGATTCATCCGAGTCGAACAACTTGTCCTGGGACTTTGGCTTCTCCACTTTGAGTTCCAGAATAAGCAACGCCGAAGATTCCGAATACGCAGAAAGTTCTGAGCTTTTCCTCAGGCATTTGGACGACGATGCCGGAACGCCAGGGATAAGTTTCCTCGTCTTGCAAGACACAGCAGATGATGAGGAGAAGGATGATGATGGCTATCGTCACAAGGAGGAGATGAAAAATTCTGGAGATAAAACGGATTATTCTAAATCTTCGCATTCAGAAAGTTCCGAAATTCAGTTTTCAAATTTGGAAAAAGATTCTAATATTACATTTCTGGAATTGAATCCGAATTCGGAATTAAGAGACGCGATACAAGAGAAAAGCTTCCAAAAATTTGATTCCCCGATCGAGAGAGAGGTAGGTGTAGGGGCAATTGAAAACGGACACACCCGCAACAAAAGACAAGCACTAACGTCTACCGGTGTTTTGGATGTATCGCTACAGCCCACAGCGACGCCTACTCGGTTATCCCTACTACAACAGTCGACAGATTACCTGCCCGCGTTGCTACGTCATTCCAACACAAGTGACTCGGATAACAACGCTTCGCCCGACACCCGCGTCGTCACCACTATATTCGTCACCGGGTCGTCGTACGACGCGACGTATATCGAATACATCTCCCCAGATGAAGCTGCACTTCTAGTTGAAGGGAAACCCCCGAGGTGGGCGAACGAACAGTTGGACGAATCGGGAAAACCCGTTGTAAAAATAGGTGTGATTCTCCCCGGCATAACGCCCGCTAACCTCCCTTTCAATTTAAACCGAAGCCGCGCCGCCATCGAACTTGCGGCCATGAGCCTCATCCGGCCCGAGGGTCAACTCCCGGGGTACAAAGTCCAGATCGTCTACATGAACTCCAACTGCTCCGAGACGATGGGTCCCCTGAAGGGCATCGAGATGTTCATCGACAAGTTGGCCCACGTTTTTCTGGGGCCGTGCTGCGACTTCGCCCTCGCACCGCTGGCGAGGTTCACGGTACACTGGGAACGGAAAATCCCGATTATAACTGCTGGTGGACTTGTCGGCGCTTTTTCCAAGAAATCGGAGTTTTCTCTCCTGACCCGTGTCCAGGTATTTTATGTCATTTTCTGATTGTCTTTTTATTTTCTTTTAGGAAGTTTTAAAATCTTTCTTTATAATCATCTAGCTAATTTTCATGCATGAATATCAATTACTTAAAATATAAACTACCATCTCGTTCAAATAATTTTTAAATTCATGCCTAGTACGCATTTCCGCGAATTAATTTGCTCTAATTTTAACTAGAATTGGTTTCAATGAGAACTTAGTCTACTCATGGAAAAAATTAAAATTCATTTTTTACTAACCTTGTAGATAATTAAGATGATTTTTCCCCCTCAATTTAAAGTTTTTTTTTCAAATTTAAGTAAGAATTTGAGATGCAAGAAACAAAATCATTGTTCAGCGTTTTAAATCGGTACAAAAAAAATTAATTAAAAAATAATTAATTAAAAACGAATGACATTTTTAGATAAAATTCTTCATTTGAAACTAAAATAAAAAATTGACATTCATTTTAAATAAAATATGGAGGTTAAGTTTTAATGTAGCGTTTAAAAAGTGAGTATTATTTCAGACTTATAAAAAAACTGTCTACTTTATAAATCCAAAACAACCAACACACTGCCATCGTTTTCTATAGGCGTTTTCTCTAGGCCGACTACATTTGTCTTAGTAAAGTCGTGGTCAACTGGCCTTGTATTCTCTAGGCCGACTACATTTGTCTTAGTAAAGTCGTGGTCAACTGGCCTTGTATTCTCTAGGCCGAATACATTTGTCTTAATAAAGTCGTGGTCAACTGGCCTTGTATTCTCTAGGCCGAATACATTTGACTCAGTAAAGTCGTGGTCGACTGGCCTTGTATTCACTAGGCCGACTACAAATGTCTTAGTAAAGTCGTGGTCAACTGGCCTTGTATTCTCTAGGCCACTTTAAATGTCTTAGTAAAGTCGTGGTCAACTGGCCTTGTATTCTCTAGGCCGACTACATTTGTCTTAGTAAAGTCGTGGTCAACTGGCCTTGTATTCTCTAGGCCGACTACATTTGTCTTAGTAAAGTCGTGGTCAACTGGCCTTGTATTCTCTAGCCCGACTACATTTGTCTTGGTAAAGCCGTGGTCAACTGGCCTTGTATTCTCTAGGCCGAATACATTTGTCTTAATAAAGTCGTGGTCAACTGGCCTTGTATTCTCTAGGCCGAATACATTTGACTCAGTAAAGTCGTGGTCAACTGGCCTTGTATTCTCTAGGCCGACTACAAATGTCTTAGTAAAGTCGTGGTCAACTGGCCTTGTATTCTCTAGGCCACTATAAATGTCTTAGTAAAGTCGTGGTCAACTGGCCTTGTATTCTCTAGGCCGACTACAAATGTCTTAGTAAAGTTTTGGTCAACTGGCCTTGTATTCTCTAGGCCGACTACAAATGTCTTAGTAAAGTTTTGGTCAACTGGCCTTGTATTCTCTAGGCCGACTACATTTGTCTTAGTAAAGTCGTGGTCAACTGGCCTTGTATTCTCTAGCCCGACTACATTTGTCTTTGTAAAGTCGTGGTCAACTGGCCTTGTATTCTCTAGGCCGAATACATTTGTCTTAATAAAGTCGTGGTCAACTGGCCTTGTATTCTCTAGGCCGAATACATTTGACTCAGTAAAGTCGTAGTCAACTGGCCTTGTATTCTCTAGGCCGACTACAAATGTCTTAGTAAAGTCGTGGTCAACTGGCCTTGTATTCTCTAGGCCGACTACATTTGTCTTAGTAAAGTCGTGGTCAACTGGCCTTGTATTCTCTAGGCCGACTTCATTTGTCTTAGTAAAGTCGTGGTCAACTGGCCTTGTATTCTCTAGGCCGACTACAAATGTCTTGGTAAAGTCGTGGTCAACTGGCCTTGTATTCTCTAGGCCGACTACAAATGTCTTGGTAAAGTCGTGGTCAACTGGCCTTGTATTCTCTAGGCCGACTACATTTGTCTTAGTAAAGTCGTGGTCAACTGGCTTTCTATTCTCTAGGCCGACTACATTTGTCTTAGTAAAGTCGTGGTCAAGGCCATATTCTCTAGCCCGACTACATTTGTCTTGGTAAAGTCGTGGTCAACTGGCCTTGTATTCTCTAGGCCGACTACAAATGTCTTAGTAAAGTTCTGGTCAACTGGCCTTGTATTCTCTAGGCCGACTACAAATGTCTTGGTAAAGTCGTGGTCAACATGATACAGAATTTTGGCTGGGAGTCGGTTGGAATTGTTTTTCATGACACGAAGGCTGACGCCAGTACCAACACATCCATCTGCGCCTTCACGGTGGAGCCCTTCTATATGGATATGAAAGCCGAGGACAAGACGCCCTGGTTCATCTCGTTCGATGAAAGCACCATGACGGACGAAAGGTACGACGCGCTTCTGCGAGCGATTGAAAGAAACACAAGAAGTGAGTATTGGCAGCGGTAGAATTTTTTTAAGTTCCGTTTATGGTTTGTCTTTGTGAGGTTGTTACCGCTGGAGTGTCTGCTGAGGTTGTCAATGTAGGAATGGCTGCTGAGGTTGTCATCGTGGTTGCTAGGTAAAACATTGGTGGGATGTCAACCCGTTCATGGGGATTTTAAATATCGTTAGTTATTTTCAGTATTTCTAAATTAAATATTATTTCTCTTCAAGATATACATCATTCGTTACATCTTTCAAGTATTTTTGTATTTATCTATCAGTCACACCCTCTATAAGGATATCTACCTTGTATCGTCTATAAATAATCTAAATAAATTAACAACCACTTAAGTTAATCTAAATTAATTATCACTTACCTCTACACACGATAGTCCAGTAGCGTACGCCAGGGTATTAGTACTAAACAGCTAGGAAACAAAGGACTACTAGATTTGCAAGAGACGCATAGAATTGGATCTTACTTACAGAATGGGAAATGAAAGAATTGTTTTTAAATTCCTTCTACCGCTGACGTTGCCTGTGAGATATCACCAACCTGATCTTCTGTTTGCAGGACTAAATGCCTCATAGTTTGTCGTTTTCTTTTCTAAATTACTATCTCACGAAACACGGCGCTGCTTCTGTTTGATGTTTCTGCTCCATAGCTCCCGAAGTTTGAGCCCGATAGTTACTGAACCCTAGAAAATAAACCCTTTGAAACTGAACCACAGTAACCGAACCCTTGTGACTGAACCACAGTGAACGAACCCCAGTGACTGAACCCTTGTGACTGAATCACAGTGATCGAACCCTAGTCACTGAACCCTAGTGACTGATCCTTAGCTACTAAACCCTAGTGTTTGAACTCGTTACTGAATCATAGTGACTGCACCCTAGTTACTGTGCCCTTATGACTGGACCCTAGTTACTGGACCCTAGTTACTGGACCCTAGTTACTGGACCCTAGTTACTGGACCCTAGTTACTGGACCCTAGTTACTGGACCCTAGTTACTGGACCCTAGTTACTGGACCCTAGTTACTGGACCCTAGTTACTGGACCCTAGTTACTGGACCCTAGTTACTGGACCCTAGTTACTGGACCCTAGTTACTGGACCCTAGTTACTGGACCCTAGTTACTGGACCCTAGTTACTGGACACTAGTTACTGGACCCTAGTTACTGGACCCTAGTTACTGGACCCTAGTTACTGGACCCTAGTTACTGGACCCTAGTTACTGTGCCCTAGTAACTGAACCCTCTTTATTGAATCATAGTTATTACACCCTAGTGTTTGGACCCTAGGTAACCCTAGTGACTGAGCCATATTAACTAAACCCCTATGACTAGTTCCCTGTTATCGTTCGCTGGTGGCAATGACCTGAACTGACAGCTAGAGTTTGAACCCCATACACATCATATGACTTGGCCTCCGCGCTATCTCTTTGCCATGTGTCTTACTGCCTGAAGTATAACGAGCAACCTTCCATATAACCCTAACATAAAATGAGCTAAAGAATCAATTACTTATTCATCTAATCATTAATCAAGTTCTTTAAATTCTAAAACAAAATATTTTAATTGAATCATTTATATTTTATTATATCATTATATATTTTTTTAAACTTTCTAATTGCCAAACCCTTTCTTATTTAGTAAATCCTTTTGTCATTTCATTAAAAAACAATTCGCTGTCTTCGTCTATTCTTTAAAATCTGTTTTTTCAAAACCATAGTTTCGCTTCTCAAACTGGAGTGAAAAATAAATAAACTGAACCTTAAAAATTCGCTTCAACAACGCGCACATCTCATTGACATCATTGTCTTGAGAAAACTGTAGATTTTAGTTTTTAAATGAAGCAACCATTTTATAACATCCGTACTTTAATAGATCTAGACTATTATTTTAGATATTTGACACAGACAGGCTACTATTCGTCAATACCTAAGATCAGCATCTCGTATGGATATCAAATGTAGAACTGAAGTTTGAAGTGTAATAACGGAACAAACGTAGCATATCGCTGAAGGTCTTTCTTCGAGTTGAAATTTTCATACAAATCATTTTTATGAAATAGTTTTTAACATGATTCCTTCTGCTTCCATGTTTTACAAGATTTTAATTAAATTTTATTCCTCTGTCGTGCTTTTGATATTTGTCTTCGTCAGTGTTTCACTTGAAATTTTCGGGGGGGAAGGGGGGGGGGGGAACGGACGGACTAAAATTTTCGGGGGGCGGACACTGTTAAAAGTATATATTTTCTATATGAATTCCATTTCGTTCGGTTGGGGAGGGGGGGGGGGTGGTAAACTTTCTTCGGGGGAGGGGGGGGGAACCTAAGATATGACTGGTAGAAACTCTGGTCTTCGTCATGCTATTGTGTCGAAACATTCAAACCAAAAGTCTCCCAAGTCTCCCTAAACGATTAGTTTAAACTTCAAAAGTAGATCATTATCCGACGGCAATGCAATTTTACGTAAATTTTGAAAATATTTTATTTTTGTAAATTATTTAAAGACTGATAAATAAAGCACTAATCAGTGTGACATTTGGTGCGTGGTTTTAGCTTTGCGATTCGATTTTGTTAAAACTAAATAGTATTAAACAAAAAAAAATATTGTTTAAAAAAAAACATGCATGATATTTTTAAATAATTTTTCCTTCTTCTTTTTAGTACATATACAAAAGCTTTCTATTGTATCATTTTTATTTTTTTTTATTTTTCTAAATTCCTTTTTTCCGATGGGACGGCATGTTAGATTGGTAGAGCGTACGATTGTAAACCTGTAGCCTCGAGTTTGTATCATGAACTTGGGCCAGTAGGACGTGCTGGGTCTACCCAGCTATGGTGGGTACCTGACTTACGTTAAGGAAAGTAAAAGCATCTAGTGCATCGTGCTGACCACAATATACCTCCATATGACAAGGTTATAGAAGCAGATGAACTCTACTTCCTCTTCTCTATTGATTGTCATGTCCGAACGTAGAAAAAAAAATTAAAATATATTCCTAGCATTTTCTTCATATGCCGAGGTCACAGAAACAAGTGAACTCTACTTTACTTTTTACCTAGCATTTTATTTAAATACTCTTTACTGGTGCCTTTTTATATGCAACTTATTTCGAAGTCTTTTGCATGCCCTGTAATATACTTGTCAGTTAGCAACATTTGCCTTATAATATTCCTTACAAGGGTCATTTATTTATAGCCTACGTCCTCTCAACATTGATAATTCTGCATACACGTTATTATACAATTATTTTACAACTAATATTATCAATGTGGAGATAGACATGTAAATATTGAGCGTAAGATATTAATCGGGGTGGTTTTTTTTTCTAACAATGGATTATTTTTGTACGTGTACAGTTACCTACTTTACATAAATCACTCCATGACATCTCTCAATGTCATTTCAACTTATCATCGTCACACATGCCATTTCACTGAGCCATACTGATAATTGTTATTTCATAAAGTCATAATTACGCATGTCATTTCACAAAGTCATAACCTCGCATTTCAATTCAACATACAACTCGTACACATGCCATTCACTATATTTCAAAATAACAAAACTGATTTTTTTTTCTGCAAGTGTCATTTCATTACATTTTAAAATAGAACAAAACCTTGCTGGGTACTCCTGTTGGCTGAGTGTCTGGGTGTGGTTGGCTGTAATGTTTGTTAGCCAGTATTCGCCATATCACTTTTGATGCAGTAGTTTTATGTATATTGGATCACGTCACGTGGCACCAATGGGATCACGTCACCGTGCACTAACGCTCTATCTATGGGATCACGTCACATGAGATCACGTCACAATGAACTAATATTCTCTCAATGTGATCACGTCACGTGGCACCAATGTCCAGTCGCTGGGATCACGTCATTTGTCACCAATGAGATCACGTCACCGAAGCACTAACGTTCTATCTATTGGATCACGTCACGTGGCACCAATGGGATCACGTCACTGAGCCAAGAAATGATGTCATGAAAAACTATTCCAAACCTCGACCGCCCAACTTAGTCTGGTAAATTGTTTAGTCCATGAGACATTTTTTTACCAGGAGACATTTTTTTGTCCAGGAGGAATTTATTTATTTTTTTCGAGATCTTTAGTATTGCATGGTCAAAATACCGCCAAAAACGATAATTTATTTAAAAAAGTGTCGCATTTTTAGAAAATTCCTGTATATGTCCTTATTATGAAAATCAATTTTTTAATGTAATCATTAGTTGTTAACATACTAATAAAATTTTCATATATAAATTTTAACCAAATAATAACTCACATTTAGTATTAAATGATATTAAATGAATAAAGTCTCAAATTGTACTAGTGCACGCGAGCTTAGATTATTTGAGAAATTTGAGTGAATTAGCAACAACAACAAAATGGCATAACATAATAAAACGTTGACAAAAACGGGGGTTAATTAAGTTCACTAAGTGGGCCAACTCATATAAAACAACAAGTAAAATATGAAATAATCTAAGTAACAATCCACGTTTTTTAAAAGTTCAATTGTTTCCGTAATTTCAAATGAATTCCTATCCTCCGTCATAAGTGAAATCATAGCCCATTATAAATTTACATTATAGGCAGTCTGAATCTGTCTATCTTACTACCCCCCCCCCCCCCCCACAATAGCATCAAAATCCATTTTAAATTTACCTTATAGGCAATCAATCTCAAGGTGGCTCTGTTTATGGTGGAACTCGCGCGCTACCACGGCTGGTCGAAGTTTGGAATGATCTTTCATGAGAAGGAGCGGGCGAGGGAGATGTGTCAGATGCAGCTGTTTGAGGTGTCGATGCAGCTGGAGAGAGCATTCCTCAACAAGACCGCCTTATCCACCTTTTATCAGAAGGAGCCCTCAGAAGAATCTCTCAGTCAAGTTCTGATCAATATGAAAGATAAAGCCAGAAGTAAGTCTCGTTTCTATCCGTCTTAGACATTTCAGTATCAGAAGATGTGAAGCACCTTAGTTCAGGTTCG